GTGTTAGTCCTTGTTATATCAGCACTGTATCGGATGCGAAGAGCATGATGGGAATCGACCAGCTTAGCTCTTTTATGCGGTTTCCGCTGAGGAAATTTAGTTTCTCAATTAAGCCTAGGTAAGGTGGGAGCGCCTGGGTGGCTGGGATGATTACCTCCTGCAAAAAAAAGAAAAAAAGAAAGAAAACATGCCCACCGCGGTGCTCCTTCCCTACGAGAGCCTTTATTTAAAAACTGGCATGTCCGTGATATAACACGACATAACGCGTTTCATTGAGTTCATTTCTTGAAATACCGACATTGTGATAGGTGGCCCCCCCCCCAACTACATTTTCACCGAAATCTGATTAAGTCTCCTCGGACCTGAGTCGCATAAGCCTTTGTATAACAGTGTAACATGTAACAGTATCATCGTTTGAGCAGTCAATTGTTAGAGCTCTCCATTGCGTCCTCCTTCTGATTAAAATAGGAACGATGGGATGGCGGTATTGCTGTTCGAGGCATCTGGGATTCTCCCTCTGTTTTTATCAGTGTTCAGGTATAGGTGGGCTACGTAATTACTTACTCTTTCAACGCTTCCCACCCTTATAGGGGAATCCCATCCCGGGAACCTCCTGGGCTTCATTTAATCGGTGACTTCTCGAGGCTTCTCAGTAAGCGGTCCTAGGTCCAGAGTCCTTATGCGACCTGACGTCTTTGACTGAGTTCCTTCATTCCTCGGTAGCCCTAGCACACTGTTCGCAGAACTCGGATGAGGGTCCCTCGTTTCACTTATAAGTGGCTTCATCACCGGTACTTTTTGAGACTTCAGGCACGATTGGTGTAACGGTGTTCCTCTTTCATTTGGGCTGTCAACATGAGCTGACTCTGGTAACGTCATCAGCCAGCCCAACTGAACGAGGAACACCGCCACAACCGAACACCTTCTTTTGCAAGAAATATGGTTTTTGCCATACAACGACGGACTCACCTTGTTCTGAATGCGGTTCTGAGCCTACACTCTTAATCACTCTGCTATCCCTACTGTTCGGATATGTTACTGAGCTCAGTTCTGCAATTTTCGCAAGATGTTGCTTATAATTGGAATTCTGTGAGGACCTTACTTCGAAAAAGCCAAGAGAAGCCCAATTTTACAGTTAGGGAGATATCCATGGAGAACGATCTTGTTGTACCTACAACGCTCTGTACTGACTTTGTAGCCGACTTTATCCTAACTAATCGTTCTTTCCGTTTTATGAACCTGAATACCTCCTTGCGGCACGTTTGGGTAGGATGTGCCCTTTTACTCTTTATCAAATCAACTTGCACGGCTGAAATAGACAAAATTCGACTCTTCAGAGCAGATGCCACTTGGTGGTATACTGGCCTAACTTTCCAATGCTAGAGGGCAGCGTAAGTTTCACGTGATAGAGGGCTGTAAATGGAGAATTAGACTCTTTGGCAAATTTTCTTGAGAGTTTCTAGTGAAGATTGCCTTCATTACGGTGGTCTATTTCTGCCACCCTGCACAAGAAAGATCGGCCTGTAGAGAAGCTGAAGCTGAAGAATGAAGACAAACAAAGCATTCTTGAAAGGTAATCTCCATATTACCGAGCAGCGTCTGTGGTGAGGAATAGAATCGTAAATATCCCAGTCGTGCAAGTTGATTCCGGGAAGGACATAAAGGAAACTAACCCTAACCAAGCTTGTTGCGTAGATAGTGGTATTCGCGACAGTATAACAAATTGAGCGCTCACCTCGGATCAAGTCGCTCAAATCTAGTTGGTGAATTACCTGCAGACTATAATGTAGTACAGAATCGTACATCAATTCCTTGGTTATCTTATTAATCATAACATAGTTGCCCTCCAAATTCAGGTGCGTGTCATGCAATCATGACTTCATCATGATTGAGCTTTTACCAAGATACAGAAATTGAATAGCTGAGATCAAGAGCTTGAGCAAAAACTTATTTTCAACCAAATTATAACAATTTCTTGCGAAACTTTCAAGTATTTCATGACTGTTATTCGAAACACAAGTATGTTGAGTAAACTGTGAACTAATTGGCTACCTCGTATATTGTCTGCCACTGCTATCGAATAGCTTTTTAGGCTGGGCTCAAGAAGAAGTCGAGGAAATCATAGGCGCAGCGAAAATGGGAGAAATTGATGCTGAATTTGGTGGCAATGCAAGCATGATGTCTAACGTGACAGTTACTGAAAACGGCGGAAATGCGACCACGGTGCCTGATGCGACAATCACTGAAACGGGTGGCAGTGCAGTCGTGGTGCCTCCTACGACTTCTCCTAGTACAGTTTCTTCACCTTTTTACGTTCCGCTTTTCATAGAGGATATGTCTCCAAAATGCCCTCAGAAACAACGCTAGTTTTTAGAATGTTTTTCAATTTGCATGGAAGAAACAGAAAATGCAGTCAATAATTTTTCCGTATGAGGCAAGCAACTCCTTATGGGAGTCACACCAGCAGAAACTCGACTCAGAGTAGTGCCTGTTAACGAAGGCGGTAAAGCACACTTAACAGCTGAAGAAGTTGGTGCCAACTAAGCGCTTCGGTACTATTCTACAAAAGTATTCCGATTCTGGGATAAAAGCAGTAGGTACACCATTGAATTTAGATATGATAAAGTGGCCCCAAGAGGACGAGATGATGAATATTAAGCTAAGTTCCGAAAAGAATAGTAAAGTCACAGCTTTGTTGGCATTAAGAGTCGGAATGCAATGGTACGCAGACGGATCACCTTCTCAAACAAAAGTGGCTCTGTAATAGACCAAATTGAGTCTGGATTGATTTTGGCATGATATATCGCTGTATTGGATGTTATTGTGATGCCTCGGACAAGATGTTATTATATGTTTTATTAGGCTGATGCTCCTGCCTTGTGCTACTGCTGAACAACAAAGCTGCTATAGAAAGTTTACACAGGAAAAACTGAAAGACCAATGACAGCCCTTTATCAATATACAATTCCAATTATTAGCCATTTCAGGTCGGCATGTTACCTAAAAACCAAAAGGGCTATCACGATGAACATGCTTAGATTGAAAAAATGGTCTTATCGGGCGGCCGAGAAGAAATCGAATCCCTGAAGCTTCCTAGGACTGTGGCTTTCTCTGATGAGTATCCATTGAAGGGCCGATTTACACATATAAGATAAGGGTTACTTAAAGAACTGGACGGAAGGATACTGGATACAGTTTCTGGTAATGGTAATAGCCCGATCTTGGGACCGAAACCTCCTAGAAAAGTCCTCCTGCCTCTTTCTCCGTCGTTCAGACGTGACAACAGCTTCGTGGAAGGGGATCTACATGATATATATGATCAGGGTGGTCGTGGCTCTCTCTATAAACATGAGGCGGAACCTGGCCTTCGAATGACCTTTCTTGCGTCTTATTTTTCACAAGAACTGGACGGTCCTTGTGAAACCGTCTTTATTCTGTCCCAACGGTAGGATGGTGATTGCATGGCGTCAGCTGTGATCTGGTTGATCACATGCATGCTCTGAGGAGCCGAATACACAGCTGAGAATGAAGGTCCCTTCCTACATGGTCAAGCAACACTGGGTGGTCTGAAGAGATTACGACAACTCTCCTCGGGATCATCGGATGCAAAATCTCGAAGAGATAGAAGAGTTTCGCGAATCCTTGAGAAATTAGTGTAGCCACCCACGACACCAGGCGTTAGGTCGGAGCTCACTCAGGCGAAAGGTTTCAATATGAATATTGAAGGATGGGTTGCAGTCTTCTTGTGGGTGACGTTTGATAATTCAGATGGCAAATTTAGACATTTATAGTTTCGATTTCGGAACTAAGATGTCGTTTGGTTGGGATGAACCCTACGATTTTCTGCTTTCCAGATCTCAACAGTCAGTGACTAAGTCAACAAGACCTAGACATTAGCTGAATAAAAGTAGAGCATCTCAGCCGAGGCTGCACAGAAGTACTGAAGGGGCTCCACAAAACAATCTCTTCCAGTAAAGAAGAGCATACGGAGAAATTCAGATGAGGATTTCTAGCTGCCAGTTTATNAGGCGCTTGTATAATATGCATATACATGAAAAAAGAGTAAAAAAGAGGGGTTCTGAGAGGACTGCAGGTAAAAGTTTTCGGGTTTCCGGGCTATGCCGGCCATGAGTGATTAAGGGGAGATAGCTTACCATGTTGTATGTAAAGAAAAAGCCACTTTATAATGACGAGAAGATCTTCCAAACTATTCATCAAGGTGAGCTCCGTTGAGAGTTTGCATGATAAATTTTTTTGGAAGTCTTCTCGATGTTGTGACGTTGCAGAGCATTTGAGAGCGACTGCTACAGATCTATAGAAGTATGAACGAACAGAGCTGAGGATAATCACAAGCCTTAGAACTGCAACCCAACAAAGTTAAACGCACAGTCCCTCCACAAGTGCAAACTACGATTCTAAACGAACGCCTTGTACAATGTTTCGTGGGAATCAGTCTATTTCAGACCCTCTAGTCTACCATCTCAGGCAATTCTTGTTTTAATTAACAGGCTTCGTAGGTGTGGGAGATATGGTTGTTTCAGACGGCTATTGGTATTGGTCCACTGCGGATTTCCTTCACTGAGTTCTCTCTCACTGAAGGCCGATTAGCGACAAGGCTACGTAGGGAGTCCTCAGTTGGCGGATAAGGGAATAAATCGCAGGTCAAAAGCAGCCGCTACTTGCCCAAAAACGCAGCTAGATTCAGGGGACGGGCTCTGTTCCTGCTGTGTTGGGTTGATATATACCTCTTGTATCTGTGTATCCATACGCATAGTGTGTGGAAAGTCTGCGGGTACAGGTGATATCCTGCCCATCTAAGCCAAAAGCTTTAATTCGAATGACTGGATAGAATCCGGGAGGTGATTCAGGGCTCCAAAATTAGAGCCCCTCGTCCACTCTGAGATGGCCTGGCTAGCTACCGTTAGTGAACCCAGCCACCATGTCAAAGCCTGGCCAGCTATTCGTGGGTACCGATATGTCGAAAACCATATAAGAATCTATAGACTATAGGTCATAAGGACCTCATTCCCTACTAAACCTGAGGGAGCTCCTAAAACGGCAGCATTGAGTTGGACCGTAGGAAAAAAGGCTGCTGAAATCCAGGGCCAAAACAGGTTGTTCAAAAGGAGATGCACAAGATGGCGATCTGCACTTTCAACGCACGAACGCTTGCAACGGAAACGTGTATAGAAGACCTGATGATGCAAGCTAGGAAGATCAAGTACGACGCCATCGGACTGACAGAGTCGAAAAGGTATCGTCTGCTGCACGCCGTATTAGAGACTGAAGGAAAACTGTTTCTTGGAACATGCGACAGCACAGGCATTGGTGGCGTAGGCGTCCGTGAATACGCACTTCGCAATACGAACATTGATTCGTACGAAAGCTTGGCAACCCGAATCGGACCTTCGCGATCAAGAAGATAAGGCATAAACCAAGCTCTAACAATCTTAGTTGCATATGCATCAACACCAAGTCACAATGAAGGGGAGCTGAAAGCGTCTTATATGGATCTGTAGAAGCTCCAGACAGAAGACCATACTTTCTTCAAAGTCATCGCGGGTGATTTCAACGCCAAGACTGGTCCTAGAAGAATGGCGGAAGAGCTCCACGTTGGGACTCAGGGAGCAGAATGGAATGGGGTGAAAGGCTATCCGAGTTTATCATGTCGATCCGCACTATGCATGCTAACTTGCAGTTCCAGACGCCCTCTCATTTGCGATTGACATGATAGTCACCTAGTGGACAGTTCCATAATGGAATAGACCACATCATCTTCAATCCGAGATTTCGCCTGACTGACGTCGCTGTTGTTCCGAAGTTCTACACGGGATCGGACCGTCGTCTCCTCCGTGCTAGACTCCGCTCCTCTGTGCGTGAAGAGAGAGCAACGAAGTTAACAAACTAAGCCTCAGACTCTCCATCAACTGGGACCACTCCGCTTACCTTGCGAGTGAATGGGAAGATTCCGTTATCGACAACATTGATGAAGAATACAACCGACTCGTCGAACATTATCACAACAGTGTCAGGAAAGCAGAGAAACTCAAAGATGCCAAGAAACGTCTCTTCGAAAACTCTCGAGCTGATACCAGCGTGGAATCGCGCGGACTGCAAGCAATACAGCTAATGTCCGAACTTGAGGGAAGAGATAGAGGAAGATCTGCAAGAGATAAGAGCTGCAGTTTTGAATGAAGGCCGGGAAGATCTTTCGCAAGACCCTTCTGGCTAGGCTCTTCACGTGATAACTTTGGTATTGCAAAGTGCCCACGGCGTGGAAAACTAGCAAGATTATGATGCTGTATAGGAAGGGGATCCAGACGACATGGACATGAACATCGCCCAATCTGATGCTGTCTGTAATTACAAGTTTTCATGCGCTCATTCTCAACAGGATTGACTTTTCTATCCTACTCCTAGCAAATTTGCTCTCTAGGCCCACGAGAACCGCAGTTATATTTTCCGCTCGAGCATTTATTTCGCACGATCCTTGCCTCTTGTGGGAGGTGTCTGGCTCTGGCACTAACCATAAGCGTTCCCACCTTGCCCCCCAGTCCAACCAAACGTGAACGTTCTAGGTCTACGGGTGCAGGAGTTATGAATTTCCAGTCGGACACACCCAAACGCACACACTCACAATTACACAGACATTATCGCATTGTATAAAGTAGGATGCTTTAGGAGCTCCACAGAGATTTCACTGCCAAGGCCTCGCCATCTATAAAAAAAAGTCATAGGCTGCTCTCATAGTCCGCCGGCAGTGCTAGGGGGAGGAGTGCGGCAGACGGTCGGTCGAAGGGGTGAAAACAAAGAAGAATAAGATCAAAAACCAAACAACCAGGGGCTCGTACAAATGGTTTTTGATCTTGTCTCTCCTCGTTTACAGCCCCTCAAGGGGCTGACCGACCGTCTGCCGCCCTCCTCCCCCCTAGCACTGCCTCGTGGCACGCCGGCACTGTGCTTGTAGAGACATCGAACACTACTTACAACAGCGAACATTGAGCAGGCGAAGTGAAGGTCGATTTGGACTGTGCTTGTGTAGAAATCGACTTGAGACCGAAAGAAGACCATGTTCATGAGGAACGAAATGGTATCTGATCTTCCCTTGACACTAAAAAGGAAGAATATCTCCTAATATTCTAGCTACGTGTCTAGGTCAAGAAGTCAGCATGATGAACGATCAAGCTCCGGAACTTAGCAAAAGGAGACATGTGGGAGCATTTAAGAATGTTGAGGTAATGGAGATTGAGGCAAAGAACGTCCGGTCCGTGCTTATCTTTTCGATACGTTGTACCTCCTGCTTTATGTACCCCTCGGAGATTTGAACTATACGGAATCAGGGCGAGCATACTGTCAGCGTGGCTCAA